AGAAAAACATCAATGTGAGAGAGACACATCGATTGGACTTGGGGTGGGGATCGAACCTGCAACCCAGGTATGTACCCTTGACTGGGAATGGAACCTGCAACCCTCCAGTACACAGGCCGACACTCCAACCACTGAGCCACACCGGCCAGGGCAAGCATGTCTGTTTTCACTACTTGTATTCAACACTGTACTAGAATTTCAACTAAGGGCAATTAGGCAAGAAAAATAAAAAGACATTCAGATTTGAAAGGAAGAAGTATGTGACATGATCTTGTATATACAAAATGCTAATGATCCCACCAAAAAATTATTAAACTAATAAATGAGTTCAGCAATTATTAAACTAATATGATTATGTACAAAAATCAATTATATTTCTATGCTTTCACAATGAACAATCTGAAAATGTTATTAAGAAAACAATTCCATCACCCTAGCAGGTTTTGCTCAGTGGACAGAGCATCGGCCTGCAAACTGAAGGGTTCGAGTCTAGTCAAGGTCATGTACCTTGGTTGCAGGCTCCTCCCCCACCCAGGCCCTGGTCAGGGCTCATGCAGGAGGCAACCAATCAATGTGTTTCTCTCACATCGATATTTCTCTTTGTCTTTCGCTCTCTCTTCCACTCACTCTATAAATCAATGGCAAAATATCCTCGGGTGAGGATTTTTAAAAAAGGAAACATACAATAGCATCAAAAAAGTAAAACATTTAGGAATAAGTTTAACAAAAGAAGTACAATACTGTAGTTTTCAAACTATAGTTTCCCCTTGGATTTCGGACCCAGGCTAGTTCAGTACAACCTCATCTTAACTAATTGCATGTGCGAATATCTTATTTCCAGATATGGCCAGGTGCTGAGGTCCCAGGTAGGCATGAATGTTAAGGGGACATTACTCAACCCACTATAAGAAGTGACTGCTAAGAGGTACAAGGTTTGTTTGAATTTTAATATCCTAAGATTGACTGTAGTGAGGGCTACACATTTCTGTGAATATTCTAGAAACCTTTTAATTGTGTAATTTACTCTTTTTTAAAAAATAATTTTTTATTGATTGCAGAGAGAAAGGGTGAGGGAGAGAGAGATAGAAACATCAATGATGAGAGAGAATCATTAATAGTCTGCCTCCTGCATGCCCCACACTGGGGACTGAGCCAGAAACCTGGGCATGTGCCCTGACCTGGAATCAAACCATGACCTCCTGGTTCATGGGTCGACACTCAAATCACTGAGCCACGCCAGCTGGACTAATTGTGTTCTTTAAATTAGAGAATTACATGGCATGTGAATTATATCTCAAAAAAAGCTATCTAAAATTTTTTAAATGATTCAACAAACTCCAATAAAGAAACTTATAAAAGATGTGCAGGAAGAAGGAACATGATCCCAAAAGGAAGATCTGAGCTGTAGGAAGGAATGGTTTATATGAGCTGCAAGTTAAGTCCTTGAAGGTCAGGGGCTTCATCTTGTTCACTGCTTGAGCCCTCAGACCTATAGCGGGTACTCAAGAAATGTGTTGGATAAATGGTTGATGAGCAAACAAATTGGTAAATAGGGGCATAAATCTAAGTAAACATTTTCATTAAATAATATCTAATTTTTGTGGCTAATAACAAATAAACTAAAAAAATAAAACAAAAATGTGAAAAACAGCAGTAAGCTGGGAGAACGTGTTCAGCGTTAGAGCAATAACATTGTCTTAGAATTTTTGAGGCATAGGCTAAACATATTGATTAGCTTTGAACTTTACAGATTAAATATGCTTGAAAATACTTCAAAAGGAACAATTAAGAAAATAAAGAGGGCATAATTTCCTAGCTAATTGAGCAAAATCTTGGAAAAAAAGAGTAAAGGAAGCTCAATTAACCCAGTAGAATGCTGAATAAGAGGAAAGTATACATAATGTGGGACAATTAGAAAAAAAAAATGAGAGGAAAGGGAAAAAATCCAAATATATCAGGAATAGATGTAAATAGAAAATCTTCCATTTAAAAGACAGATTATATTTTAATTTTAATTTTTTGTTGTTGACAGTATTACAGATGTCCCCCAGTTACCCCCTATCTCTCCCACTATATCCCCGCCTGAAAGACAGATTATTATATAAGATCAAAAACAAATCCAGTTAAATGCTACTTAAAAATATACATCTAAAACATAAGAACACAGGGGTGGGGGTGGGGGTTATTACACATACACACTCTTACACATACACACATATCCTTAACCCAAACCCTGCAATCAAATGTGTTTCCAAACTCAGGTTAATTTTTTTCAGATTAATTTTAATTTAAGAAATTAATACAGGGTATAGGTTATATATTAGTTAATACCCCCAGTGGAATTTGAAGCAACACCTCATAACCAAGCACAGTAATATTTCTAAAGGAACATATAAATATTTACACTAAATAGAATAAACCAAGACTATAAATAGTTCCATATCAGCATAGATCAGGTTTTGCTGCTGAATGTTTTTTAAAAACACACAAAACTTTGTTTTCAGAACTATTTGGTTTTCAGAATTGCAGATATAGACTTATAGGCCTGAACCAGACAAATATTAGCCAAAAGAACTGGTATTCCTGTAGTAATATCAAACAAAATAGTTTGAAGGCACACAACATTATTACGTGTTACCAAATGAGGAAGATACAATTCTAAATGTATATACTTTTATTGAGATAGCCTCCAAACATAAAGAAAAATTGATAGTACAATAAGGGAAATTTGGTGTACACACCAAACAATGTTCCAAACACACAAAACTTTGTTTTCAGAACTATTTGGTTTTCAGAATTGCAGATATAGACTTATAGGCCTGAACCAGACAAATATTAGCCAAAAGAACTGGTATTCCTGTAGTAATATCAAACAAAATAGTTTGAAGGCACACAACATTATTACCTGTTACCAAATGAGGAAGATACAACAATTCTAAATGTATATACTTTTATTAAGATAGCCTCCAAATGTAAAGAAAAATTGATAGTACAATAAGGGAAACTTGGTGTACACACCAAATAATGTTCAATCTATGATCTCCTGTTTGTTCAGTATTTCAGTGTGTGTCTTGTCGCCCCAACTAGACTACAATAAATCAGTGTGAGTGACTGTTCTCACAGAAGAATGCCCTCCATGCGAAAGGCGAGGGTGAAACTTTACACCCATGACCTCCTGTGAGCTACCTGAGTCTACAAAGTGGGAAATGGTTTCCCCTTATTGCAACAAGGAAGATGAAGTAATTCACCCAAAGTCACACTGCTACATATAAAGAGTTTGGATCCAAATTAAATTCTGTTTGACTCCAAAGATCCAAGATCTTTTCAAGGTAATACCTTGAAATAAGCATGACATCGTCTATTGGTTTAGTGAAATTAAAATGGCAGTCAATTTATGGAATTAAAAGCAGGACTGGGGATCTATACATACGATTACCATTTTTCCAGGAGGCCTATTTAGCAAGTGTCCATGCACGGGAGGCCCTCTAAGGGCGGACAGTCCTCATTCTCCGACATCTCCCCAGGTCTTGCCATTTTCTCCCTGACCGTAAGCCAGCTGTGAAGTGAGATGAGCTCACGATCCCAAGACATTCTCTTGATTTCTTAGCCTTAAACTCAGGTTATGGTTTTAACACAAAAACGCGGAGTTGTTTGGGTCAGGAATGAATTTAAAATGTAAAGCCTTTTCTAACCTATTTAAAATGTTCGGCTATTCACCAACTACCCTCCATGAAACAAGGGAAATAATTCTAACTGAAGTGGGTCACAGGAACAGCAGTTGGCATATAAATATGCAGCGAAAAAGAAAGTCCAGAAATAAAACAGCATATTTTCCCTTTTGTGTAAAGAACACCAGCGGCTACTCAAGAAGGAAAGCACGGGATGTATATTTCCCTTTCACCAGGGATGTCCGAGAAGGCTCAGGCCTGAGCACGCTGCTGCCTCACAAAGGACCGCGGAGCCAGGTGGAGCCGTGCGCGCTCACGACTCACCACAAGAGGGCGCCCATCCAACGGGAGAGAAAGGTCATCCCGCCCTGAAGATGCACCGGAAGAGTAAACCCCCAGCCTGAAGCGGTGGAGGGTATTTTTATCATCAGGGGCTGCGGCTAGATTTGGTAAAACAACCGAACAAATCCAGGTTTTTCCTCCAATCCCCTTTTTTGTGGGGTCAGTTCTGTTTCTACAATGAATTCTTAGCGATACTGTATAAGGAAGAACAAATTTCCCTGCCTGCCTGGTGAAACAGAAACCAAGTGGATCGCTCACATAAAACAACTCTAGCAGCATCAGCACGAAATGGACTTTGTTTAGGTGGACTTCACCAGAAATGGGAGGGTGGAAGGGTTTCGGCCCGCATGTCCCTTTTAGAGAGGAAGACGTGCATTTAAACTCTGTGTCCCTTAAAGACTATTGGCGTGAAAAACTTGAGTCCAAATTACAGTTTTATGATCTTTCACAGGTGTGCACGGCGGCTGCCTCGGCCTCACTGTCGCTCCACATCATCGGCCCAGGATTTCCCGCCGGTGCCTCTCTCCAGGCGGCTGCCATGACAAACCTGTCCCGCAGCCTTCTCTTCTGTCCATGTCATCGGTGCAAGGTCTCTCGCAGGTCACTCCGGTCCTTCGGAGCTCCTCCGTCAGCCGAGGACCTCCTGGGCTTCCAGGTATCCACCAGCCAGGAGGTGGGGTGTGTGCTCCTCCTTGAGGGTCAGGCATTTCTGGGCTTAAACCTGCCTCCACTTCTTTTTTATTATTATTTCTTTATTGATTAAGTTATTACATGTGTCCTTATCCCCACATTACCACCCATACCTCTCATGCTCTCACCCCCCTGGTGTCTGTGTCCATTGGTTATGCTGATGTGCAAGCATACAAGTCCTTTGGTTGATCTCTCCCCCTCACCCCACCCTCCCCTGCCTTCCCTCTGAGGTTTGACGGTCTGATCGATGCTTCTCTGTCTCTGCCTCCACTTCTTATTAGCTCTATAGAACCTTGAGTTCTCTTTTAATCTGCTGGCGCCTCTGCTTCCTTATCTACAAGATGGGAATAAGGACAGTACCTCGCCCAGAGAGCTATCGTTATAGAGATAAACAATGCAGAGTAAGTAAGGGCTTAGTCCAATAACATGCTCAGTAGTCCCAGCCAGGTCGGTTCCGTGGATAGAGCATCGGCGGGCTGACTGAAAGGTCCCAGGTTCCAGCTGTCTCTCTCACATCGATGTTTCTCTCTCTGTCTCTCCCCTCCCTCCCGCTCTCTCAGAAAATCAATGGGAAAATATCCTCAGGCAAGGATTAACCAAAAATTTTTAAAAAAGAATATGCTCAGTAAATATTAATTCTTGTAATTGATTTCTTCACAGATATTTAGTGAGCACCTCCGGTGTGCCCAGTACTATTTATTCTAAGTGCATGTGATACATCCATGAACAGAACTGCCAATGATCCCAGCCATTGTGAGCTTGCATTCTAGCACGGGCAAGCAGACAGTTAACATTAGACTTTCTGGGGGTTGGGGGATTGGCCGGGGAGAGGTCAATGGGGGGAAAAGGAGACATATGTAATGCTATATGTAATACTTTAAACAATAAAGAATTTTTAAAAATAATATAAATATTGGAGTCCCCCCCCCAAAAAAAAAGGTAGACTGTCTAAGTAAATAAAGTATGCTAGAAGGCAAGAGGTAATAAGTGATATGAAGAAGAAAAGAAGTAGTGCAGAAGACAGAGACTTGAGAAGGCCAGTCACAGTTCAGATAGGGTGGTCAGGGAGGCCTCATTTAAGGCTGGAACTTAAGGAAAGTATTGGGGAAGATGGGGGAGATATTTGGGTTGGGGGAGAGGGGCATGTAGGCAAAGGGAACAGCCAGCTCAAAGATTCTGCCGCAGAAATGTGTCTGGCTTGTTCCAGAGCAGCAACATAGCCCAGGGCATCTGGATTAGAGAGAACAGTTCCAAATTGGATGGCCCATCCTCACGTCCAACTACAAGAGGTCTACAACAAAGCATGGCATCTCCCCCCTTCAAACCTTCTGCCATGTATTCCCTTTATTAATGTTAAAGTCTTCCAAGATTATAACTTTGAAGTCATTTATATTCCTTTTCTATGTCATTTCTTATGTTCTTTTTTTAAGTGCCTTTGGATTTATTCTTTTCTTTCCGTAACTTTGAAGTCATTTATATTCCTTTTCTATGTCATTCCTTATGTTCTTTTTTTTTTAAGTGTCTTTTGATTTATTCTTTTCTTTCCATTTCTGCTGTCATGACACAGAGACAGATTAAGACTTGGCCTTAAGACAAAAAATATATATATATGGTGCCCTCCTTTAAGTTGCAAAGGTTTCTAAAACTATGAAAGGTAAGGATGTCTCATATTTTTTGATGACCATGCTTTGTCCTTGAGCATGTGCTTAACCTGCCTCTCAGTTATCCAAAGCTGCCATCTTATTAGCTACTCCACTTCCAAGTTAGTTCAATTTTTTCTTAACTAGTCTCCTGCTTAAGTACCTCCCAGCTCTAATCTATGCAACACAGCCTTCTGACTGACCTTCCTCAGTCAGAAGTTGCTTTTCTCAGTCATCTCTCTGCTTAAAGACTTGCAATGGCCATTTATTTACACTTACCAGAAAAGTCAAAATTGCAATGTCTGTCCTCATAATTATGAATAACTTGAGGTCAAAAACCTTGTTTTAAACATGTGTTATCATCCAAAAAATGCTTAGCATGGTGAATGATACATGTAGACAACCAATAGTTGTTGAATTTATTTGAAAAGAACATTGAAAGAAAAGAATGAGTGAAACTTACAGAGCACCAAGTTCTTCCAGCTCTGAGGGCCACAGTGGTCGGGGTTTGGGGGGTCAGGTTTGTTGAGGTAAAATTCATACACAGTAAGATTTACCCTTTATTGTGCACAAATATCTGAGCTTTGATAAATTATGTAACCATGGTCATCACCAAGATGTAGAAGAGTTAGAGCCCAGCAGTCTAAAACATTCCATATGTCCCTTTGCAGTCAACCCCCCGCCTCTGACCCTGGCAGTCACCGATCTGTTTTCTGTTCCTATCGTGTTATGTTTTTATTTTCCTTTTCTTATATGACCTTTTGAGGCTGGCTTCTTTCACTTAACGTAATGAATTTGAAATTCATTCATTTTGTTGCATATATCAATAATTTGCTGCTTTTTCCATTATATGGGTGGACCACAGTTTATTTATCAAGTTAGCAGCTGAAGAACATTTAGATTGCTTCCAATTAGGAGCAATTATGAATAAAGCTGCTATAATCATTCATGTACAGGTTTTTGTGTGAACGTATGTTTTCATTTTTCTTGGATAAATACATAAAAGCGTACCTGGTGGAGCATGTGGTATGCTTATCTTTTTAAGAAAATGCCCAACTATTTCCCAAAGTGTCTCTAACCATTTTACTTTCCCACCAGCAATGCAGGGCCTGTTGTTCCAGATTCTCACCAGCACTTGGTATTGTCAGTTTTTTCTTTTCTTATTACTTTACCAACTCTAATAGGTATATTTCTTTGTGGTTCTAATTTGCATTTTCCTTATATTCGTGTTGAGCATCTTTTCATGTACTTGCTGTATCTGTATGTGTTCCTTGGTGAAATATCCATTCAAATCTTTTGTCATTTGTAATTGCTTTGTTTTCTGACTATTGAGTTTTGATAATTCTTTATAAGTCTGGATACAAGTATTTTAACAAATATATGTTTTGCAAATATTTTCTCCTAGTCTGTAAATTGTCTTTTTTTAAAACTTTACATGCAATAGAATTCACATTGGTGTACGATCTATAAGTTTTAAGACCTGCATAGATTCTTGTGACCACCACCACAACCAATATTAGTATGCAGACGATCCAGCGCCCTAAAGAATTCCCTCATGTCCCTCCTTTGGTCAGAGCCCCCTCCCACCCCATCCTCTGGCAACCATTTCTCTGTTCCTATAGTTTTGCCTTTTCCAGTGTCTCCAATAAATGAAATCCTATAGTCTTGATCTTTTTTTTTTTAATATATTTTATTGATTTTTTACAGAGAGGAAGGGAGAGGGACAGAGAGTCAGAAACATTGATGAGAGAGAAACATCGATCAGCCGCCTCCTGCACACCCCCCACTGGGGATGTGCCCGCAACCAAGGTACATGCCCTTGACCGGAATCGAACCTGGGACCCTTCAGTCTGCAGGCCGATACTCTATCTACTGAGCCAAACCGGTTAGGGCTAGTCTTGATCTTTTGAGACTGGCTTCTTTCACACGGCACAAGGCTGAGCAGAGGTCTGCTGTGCAGAGACCACCATGTGTTCATCAAGTTGCCCACGGAAGGACATTTAAGTTGTTTCCAGCGTTGGCAATAAAGATTTTTGGACAAAAAATGCAATTCTCCCAACGAATAAACATAAAATATTAAACACTGTTGAAAACAACAGATTCAGGCAACACTGCTGAGAAAGTCAGTGCAGAAGGGCTGTCAGGAGCCTGGAGAGAAAGTTCACTTCAGTGAGGATCACACACCCCAGGGAGTGAGAGGCACCAACTGGGGGGCGTTGTAACCCAGAGAGGCAGCCCAGGGCCACCCTGGGCTCTGGCTCGCAGGTGAATGCAGGCAACGCAAGGGAGCAATTGGTAACATTATGAAGCAACAACCACATTCAATTTTCTACCGACATTTTTATCCTTTCTCCTCCCTACTTCACAAAAGGTGTTATAATAATAAAAAGCTAGTTGTACAGAACAGCTAAAATCTAAATCACAAAGAAAACTCAGAAGCCATATTGAGGACAAAGCAAGAAAAAAAATTGCGCTGGAACATGAAATGAGATGCGTATTTGTCCTCTGGGCTTCCTATATTTATTCCAAGGAAAAAGAGAAGTTTCATTCTTTTGATTGTTAATTGGAGGAAAATGGTTTTTTGGGAAAAGGAAAACTTTCCTGTCACTAAATTCTCAAGTAAATTTGTCACATAATTTCTCTTATATAAAAGAAATATTGAATAACATCATGAAAATAAATTTTGCAAGGAATGCAAAAAATCCCTTCATAGGAAATTACATTGTATCTACCTTCAGCTTAATCTATCAGACAGAACATCACATGTGGGAAAATTTGACATATTCACCTCCAGTTTCTCAAACAGGGTCAGTAGTATCATCTTGGGCAAAATCACATGGGGCTACTTAATACACATGCAAATTCCTAAGACCTACTCCAGACCAACTAAATCAAAATTTGGGGGGACAGGGCCCTGGAATCGGATACATCCAAGTTGGAAAAAACACGTCTATAGAAAAGTATGGTTGCTTTTAGGTCATGTAGTAATGCAGAAACAAAAATGGAGCGATTTAGGAAAATGAATAATTAACATGTCCTTTAAACGGCTTCTCTGGATATTAATTGCTTCCGCTGTGCTTTTGGCAGCCACTTAAGGGCTGAGCTTGCCTGGGGTGCAAACCTTTGGTATTATCAACTGAACCTTGATAATTTAAACACTTTGAAGTGTGTAAGCCTATCAAAGAAGCTGTACTATTGCTTATGTTTTAAAAATATCTTGATATGCACATGAATAAAGAAAATAAGAGGTTGATTGTATTTTCACATCTGTTTACCCAAACAACCTACGTGAAGTGTGTGAGCGCCCTGCGTGTCGGTGTCTGCACTGTCCATCACCAGCGAGACATAAACACGGACCAGGAGGCCTGGGCCTGGAACACCTGGCCCGCAGCTTCAGTTTCTGTGTGCGCCTGAAAGCCGTAAACCGCAGTTCTTTAAGAGTATCCTCGGGTTTATTTTGTGCTCCCACGGTTAGCTGAGGTTACTGAAGTGTTACAGCCCACGTTTCATGGATCGCCTTCTTCTTACTTCAGAAAACCACGGGAGGATTTGGCAATGTTCTCCGTAAAAGCAGGATAAATAGAAGAGGCTAGCCAGCGAGAAATAAGTGGACGTTTCAAGTCAAACAAACAGCTTGCTTTTATTTTATAATCACGCTGACACTTACATCTAGCTCATGCCCAAAGATCCTGCTATGCATACACTCCCCGGGAGATGCCAGCCTGCGCAACCGCATCCCAGGCCATTGCCTGTGTCTGGCAGCAAACGCCATTCGTTAAGCCCTTGTGGGCATGTGTGAAATGCTAGATGTGTTGCAAAGCCTCTATGCCAGTTTAAGAGAAACACCATTTTGCCTATCAGAATGTGCAAAGAAAATCAATTAACCACCACTATTGTTTGCTTTGGAAAGATTAGAAAAACAAAATATTCGAACATTATACTTGATGTGCTGATTAGATTTAACGCTCATTTCCATTTAACCCAATCTTCTCTGTCACGGGGTCTGAAAATTCTGATTTTAAGGTTTTTATTCATTATGGGCCACCCTTTCTTTTTGCCTCCCCCATCTTCAACTCTCAAAGAACATATTTCTTCAAGGAACTTCGTGGTCTATGTTCTCATTTCCACACTGTACACTGTATTATATGTGACACAAATATAGACTGTGATGTTTGGCCTTAAAAAACTGTGGTTTGGCTGGTCACCCTAATGCCTGATTCCTTTTCAATCATGCAGTTGATAATAGCTGAATCCTACTTCCCTTAGAGTTCCCAAATTTTTAAACATTAAATCTTTTAGACTCATTCCAGGCCATTTCCTCTTCTAGTCCTTGACTCTTTCTTGAAATGACCCCTTTTAGTTCAGCCGAATGTAAACAAAACTGAATTTTAGCTCTGCTCTTACAAGAGCTGTGTTTAGACTATGATTTGCTCCAGGCCAGTGCTTTTCAAAGGGAAGATTTCGATCTCTGGGAATCCTTGAAGGTGAAAGATGGAGGGATCGGGAAGGCAGGGTTTTAAGATCTATATATTTGTCATTCATAATGTATGTTAGAGAAAAACATAAGAGTTAGATGCAAATAAAAAGCTTCTAAGCATGGAGGGCCACTTACATAATTCAAAAGTGCAAATGAATCCTATAATTCATCCAACTATTTATTTATACCTCCATCTTATTTCACAATGGCTCTTATTATATCATTCCATTTACATGAAATGCCCAGAATAAGCAAATGTGTAGAGACAGAAAGTAGATTGGTGGTTGCCTGGGGCTGGAAGGTGGGGATGGGGAGGGTTGGGGAAAGGCTGCTAATGGGTACAGAGTTTCTTTGGGGGGAAATGAAAATGGTTTAAAATTAGGTGGTTAGTTGCACAACTCTGTGAATATACTAAAAACCACTGAAGTGTGCACTTTAATAAAAGGGTAAATTTTATGATTATGTACATTATATCCCAATAAAGCTGTTTTTTAATGGGTTTACATAGTTCCCATCAGACAACAATCCAATAGAAAATGGGCAAAGGATATGTGTTGGAAACTCACATAGAAGAACCACAATTAGGCATATAAGTATGAAAACAGACACAGTATCAAGGGTGGTTGGGGAAAATGCAAAACAACGCAACAATGAGATATCTCAAAACCATTATATTGGCAAAAATTATAACATTCCAAATGGCAGCAGGACGTGAGGGCGAGGCTCTCGTGCAGAGCTGGTGGAATGTAAATTGGAACAACAGCTCTGGAGGGCAATCTGGCAACATCTCAAAGGTAACAAAAGCGTGTCCCACTCTCAGCACTGCCACACACAGGGCAAAGATGTCTGCACACGGACATCCATTCACATTGTGTGTAACAGGGAAAACGGAAACAAATACCTAAAGGGATAAAGCAGTACAGGGATGGAGGATTAAACTATAGTGCACATATACAACAAAATACTATAGAGCACCAAAATAAATAAATAGAGTCACTAGGGGAAAATGTATTCACAAAACATATGCCACAGGGTTTCTTAAAGGAAGGCAGATTAGGAAAAATAAGATTAAGCTAAGGGTTTTAAAACGTACAGAATCAGGTTTGGCTCACCTGCTGGCTCTAGACTTATAGCAGGCAGTGCAAAGGGGGAAATCTGATCGATTACAGAACTAAACTGTGAGGTAAAAAACATATAACTGTTCCTGACACTCACATCAGAGAGAACTGCTCCTCTAGGATTCTCAGAAAGTGGATAATAAGCAACGTCCTGAATGCCATTCTCTCATCCACAGGACTGACTCACTTCCGCAAAGATTCATCCCTGAACTGCAATCTCCACGTGTCTGGCTTTATCAGAAGATTCGTTGTTGAGAGCAGGGGTAAGAAACTGGGATGACAACATATTTTGCTTGGCCAGCATGGTGTTTCTCAGTGGTTAGAGCTTCGCCCAGTCCCCAAAGGGTCTTGGGTTTGATTCCCAGTCAAGGGCATGTACCTGGGCTGCAGGTTTGAACCCAGGCCCAGTTGGGGTGAGCGCAGGAGGTAACCAATGGATGTGTCTCTCTTACATCGATGTTTCTCTCTCTGTCTCGCCCCCTTTCTCTTCCCCTCTCCCTTGTTCTCTCCCTTCCACTCTCTCTAAAAGTTAATGGAAAAAATATCCTCAGATGAGGATTAATATATATATATATATTTTTTTTTCATTTGAATGCTGTAGGTGGGACATACACTTCTTAGAATGGCCCTATCGAATAGAACACTCTCAGTGAGTGAATTGTTCTCTACCTGCACTCCCAGTGTCCCATGTGGCTGCCTACTGAGTACGTGTGGCTAGTGTGATGGAGGAACTGAATTTAAGTTTTATTTCATTTTAACTAACTTTAGTTGGAGCCAGTGGTTCTCAACCTTCCTATTGCCACGACCCTTTAATACAGTTCCTCATGTTGTGGTGACCCCCAACCATAAAATTATTTTCATTGCTACTTCATAACTGTAATTTTGCTACTGTTATGAATCGTAATGTAAATATCTGATATGCAGGATGTATTTTCATTGTTACAAATTGAACATAATTAAAGCATAGTGATTAATCACAAAAACAATATGTAATTATATGTGTTTTCCGATGGTCTTAGGCGACCCCTGTGAAAGGGTCGTTCGACCCCCAAAGGGGTCGCAACCCACAGGTTGAGAACCGCTGGTTTAAGCAGTCACATGTGGCTAGTAGTGACACTATTGTATAGTACAGCTCTAGAGGTCACGGGCCCCACGATTCTCTTCTTCATTAATCACCCCACTCTCTGTGACACACTTTTAAGTCATCTGGCTCCTGGAGGTATTTTTTGAACTCATGTTCTCAAGGACTAGACAGATTACAATATTATTGTATATCTTTCTTTATTCCTTTACTCAATTAATATTCATTCTACCTGAGAGCTATCAGGTCTGTGTCAGACACACCATCTACCATCTCACAGCCCAATCTAGGCCAGCACTGTGGGATGAGCCACACGTGGGGCGAGCAGGGTCTGCAGGGAGCGCACAGGAGGGGGTTAGAAACTCCATCTGAACTTGGTGGGACGGGGAAGGGCCTTTCAGAGAGAACTAAGAGTAAGTACAAATCAGCTGGGGTGGGGGCAGCTCTCAGAAGAGGAAACAGAATGGCTTGTTCTGAGATTCAAAGAAATTCACTAGAATTTAGAATGTGGGGGCGGGTGACTGTTAAAGATTGGCAAGAGCCAGATCATGCAGGATGTTTGAACTGTGTGAAACTGACTTTGCACTTTGTCCCGAGGGCAACAGAAAACCACTGAGAAATTTTAAGCAGAGGAGTAAATTCTTCTCTTGTCTACATTCAAGATAAACCCAGCAGAATTAGCATATGACTCAGCAATTCCACTTGTGGGTATATACACAAAAGAACTGAAAGCAGGTACTGGGATACATGCTTGCACACCCATGCCTCCAGCAGCATTATTCACAACAGCCTAAAGGTAGCTACAACCCACGTGTCCACCATGCATGAGTGTATAAACAAGGTGTGGAATATACATACAATGGAATATTATTCAGCCTTAAAAAGGAAGGAAATACTGGCTCAGGCTACGACATGGTTAAACCCTGAGACCATTACACTAAGACAGCGGTTCTCAACCTGTGGGTCGCGACCCCTTTGGGGGTCGAATGACCCTTTCACAGGGGTTGCCTAAGACCATTGGAAAACACATATATAATTACATATTGTTTTTGTGATTAATCACTATACTTTAATTATGTTCAATTTGTAACAATGAAAATACATCCTGCATATCAGATATTTACGTTATAATTCATAACAGTAGTAAAATTACAGTTATGAAGTAGCAACGAAAATAATTTTGTAGTTGGGGGTCACCACAACATGAGGAACTGTATTAAAGGGTCGCGGCATTAGGAAGGTTGAGAACCACTGCACTAAGAGAAAGTCAGAAACAAAAGACAAATATATGGTCCCACTTATATGAGGTGCCCTAGACCGTTAAATTCACAGAAAAAGAAAGTAGAATGGTGGTGGCCAGGTTCGGGGGCGAGGCGGGGTGAGGAGTTACTGTTTAACGGAGACAGAGTTTCAGTTTGAGAAGATGCAAACGTTCTGGAGATGGATGGTGATGAGGGTTGCACACCAATGTATTTAATGCCATTGAACTTTACACTTAAAGGCAGTCAAAATGGTAAATTTTATGTTATTTATTGTACCACAATAAGAGAATAAAATAAATTCTCCATCATCTCTCGATAAAACGATGCATAAGCCTCCCAACTGGTCTCACTGTAACCATTCTAATCCCTCGCATTCTTTTTCTACACAGCAGGGAGAGGTGATGGTTTTGAAATATGAGTGAGGTCATATCACTGCCTTGCTAAAAAGCTTTCAATGGCAGGTGAGCCAGGAGTAATCTGGCCCCTCCTCACATCCCTGGCTTCATGTCCTCACTCCCACTCTGGCTCACGCCCCCCTCCCCCCCGCCCCAGTCCCACTGGCCTCTTTGCTGCTCTGTGAACACCCTGACTCTGTGAACAAGCTCCCACTTGAGGGCTTTCTCACCCTGAACATTTGCTCCTCTGATTTCCCCTAGTTTGCTTCCTCGCTTTATTCTGCCCCATTATCACCCACCGGCACCTTTCTTTACCACCCAACCCAAAAAAGTTTTTTTCTTATTTTTCTTTATAGTCCTGACTGTCCAACTTAGGCAGGTCAGTAATGTTTGAGGGATTTTATTTTATTGTTTTAAATATATTTTTTATTTATTTCAGAGAGGAAGGGAGAGAGAGAGGGGTAGGGAGAGAGACAGAACCATCAATGATTAGAGAGAATCATTGATCAGCTGCCTCCTGTATGCCCCCTACTGGAGATCCAGCCCGAAACCCAGGCATGAGTCTTTGATCAAAATCAAGCCCGGGACCCTTCAGTCCACAGGCCAACACTTTATCCACTGAGCCAAATTGGCTATGGCTGTTTGAGGGATTTTATTTCCACATCTGTAAAAGAATGAAGTTGGATTAGGAGAGCTCTTCTATAATAATAAAAGCATAATATGCTAATTAGACTGGACAGCCAAATGACCTTCCAGATGTCCTTCTGGATGTCCTTCTGGACGACCTCCGGACAAAGGCCGGGCTGCGAGGGCTGAGGCAGCCTTCACGCTGTGAGGGCCAAGGCAAGCTGCCACAGCTGCGAGGGCCGAGCACCTTGCATGAATTTCATGCATCAGGCCTCTAGTTTAAATATAAAGGAGAATGAAGTTTCCATAAAGGCTAAACATTAATTTGTATATTTATACAAAAATAGTGTTTATCCCATCTATTATTTTAGTTTTTACATAAATACAACCAACTTAAGATGGTTCAACTTACAATTATTTTTTACTTTTTCTTTTTTTAACAACATGGCAAAAGCGATGCACATTCAGTAGAAACCATACTTTGAATTCTGAATTGTGATCTTTTCCTGGGCTAGCGATATGTGGTACAATACTCTCTCCTGATGCTGGGCAGTGACAGCGAGTCACAGCTCCCAGTCAGCTACGAGATCACCGAGGGTCAACAACCTATATCTACACTGTTGCCATAGTTTTTTGGTTATTGTGTTCTGAGAATGATGAAGATCGGCTAGACTAGGTTATGATGTTCGGTAGGTTAGGCGTATTAGTTGCATCTTTGACTTACAATATTTTGCACTTACGATGTAAACTGATCCTAAGTCAAAGAGCTGCTGTGTATCTGCTTATTAATGTGATCATTGTCTGCCTCTCAGGTAATGTAAGTTCCATGAAAGCAAGGACTTTGTTTTGTACTAGTACACTACTGAATCCCCAGTGCCTAGAACAGTGTCTACTACTACTCTAATTCAGCATGGAAATATTTGCTGAATGAGAGAATGACTGCATTTGTGTTTTAGGATTGTGAAAATGGACTGCAGTGGAAGACTAGACTAGGAGGAACCAGCTGGGTGGCCGCTGCGGACATCACACCAGTAGCTGAGGTGGCCAGGGCAGGGGCAGCAGGGGTGGAGAGGATTAGGGATAGATGGATATTTAGGAGAGAGAATCAAGAGGCTGGATGGAGAGTTCATTCCCTGAGCCAGAAAACTCAGGAAGAGGAACAGATCTGTGGGGAAGATGAACTCGGTTTTAAGCTCATTGAATGGACTGTCCCCACAGAGATGTTGAGTGAGCAGTTAGAGATGCTCAGTGGAGAGATCTGGGCTGGAAACATAGATTCAGCAGTTCATAAATATAGTCTTACTGGAAATTTTGATAACCATTGAGCAGCAGTTAGTTGAAGGTTATACTTTTTGAATGTACATATCCAATGCTGCCAATTAATTTCAGATTCATGTGCTTTCACGGTCAGCCAAGCTGGTCATATCTTTAAAACAGTATGGAAGGTAGAAAATAAAACTTCTGTGTTTTGTATGTGTGTTGTTGTTGTTTTTCATTTAAAGTAGAGTAACACTATTTTTTTTTCACTGCAACTGGACCAATTTTAATAAGGGTACCTAATCCTCGAGCCATATATTCAGAAATCTATCTAATTAAATATACAGATTAATGTTTAGCCCTTATGGAAACTTCATTGTCCTTTATATTTAAGAGAGCTCTCCTAATCCAACTTCATTCTTTTACAGATGTGGAAATACAACCCCTCAGACATTACTGACCTGCCTAAGTTGGAGTAGAGTCTTGATCTCACTCTGTTTGTAAGTAGTTCATAATCGTGGGCACCTTGTTTGATTTCTGTTTCGGTCTCTCCTTGGAAGAACTCCATAATTGCACATCACAACTGCATTGCAGTTCACCAAGACCACAGCCACCCGGACATCCTGCAGTCACACATCTGTTCCTCCCAGGGAAGCTGCTGTCAGACACTGAGTTTTCACTCTTTATTACTTTTCAGCAAAGTTTAACTCACTGGATATGTAGTGAAACTGCTTGAGAATAAAGATAGGACCTCCAAGGCATGTTTGGATTTCACATTACAAAACTACAGCCATTTCTGCCTTTTAGACTCAAAGGCTAAACTTTGATACCTCTCAACGGTTTCCTTGAATGAGTTTATTAAATCATGGAAAAGCATGTAGATGGTGTCCCTAAGGACCAAAATTTAGTGACCACTCTCAGCAGTGAAAATCTTACCTTAGAGGCAGAATAAAATCCATTTCAATTGTGATGGTCAACCAGCCAGAGCTAGTAATTTTCCTGTCCATTGCAGAAACTCATTGCGGCAGATACTTTGAATGGCTACCCCAAATTCTTCCCAACTCTTTTCTTGCCCCCTTCTACTATAGATCCTTCCTCGCAGCACCTGCAAGTGGCCAGCTGACCCAATGTAGAGCCAGAGGCAGAAGCTAATGTCCTCCCAGGCCTCTGCTGGCATGACCTCTGCCCCAGTTCCCTTCCCTCCTTACAAACAGGATGGCTTGAGCTACAGCAGCTCCCTTGCATTTATGAAGAAAAAGGCCAAGGGAATCCCACAGTGTAGGCCCTGCCATGGTTTGACTGCTGAACCAAACCCCACCAACTTCAGATTTCTTGTTGGGTGAGAAACCTACGCTTTTTGTTTAAGCCACTGTGAATGCTTTCTGTTTCCCAATCTAAATAAAATTATAACCAAAACACTAAATAAAATAACTCAACTTGAAAGGGTTGGGGAATGGGATGAGGCCCATCAGCATATTTGTGGGTAGGGCCCAGAAACACAGACACACACACACACACACACACACACACACACACACACACAGTTCCCCCAATACCTCCCCTCTCAGTGGGGAACTACTTTATAAGGTTTTCTTAATCAGCCCAGTTTTACCTATTTTTCACAGCCATAATTAATTATGAAAAAAAGAAAGGACCTAGAAAGTTGGTATCTGAAAACAACTTCTGTACACATGAAAACTTTTCTAATTTGGTAAGCTCTGGTTATCACCAAAGGATTTCAGAAGCTATCCTAGGAGCACGAAATTATGCAAACCATTAGAGACACTCGTAGAGAATTTGTGACCACGTGCTGAGGCGATTAGGGGAAATCTGCTTTGTCCAGCCAGGATTTAGGCTCCTCTTATTTTTTCCCCCCAGACTCCACTCGTATCCTCACATGACCCTGCCACAGCCCACTCCCCTGTCTGTGCTGTGTGCGGGGCCTCAGCTGGCTAAGCCCTTGCAAGCCCTGGGCTCTGTTGTTACTGGTGCCTGGGCCACATCACTGTGAACCTTCTGCTAGCTTTCCCCACATCCATCATTCTGCAGAGATCACGGTTCAATCTGTTCTACTATGCTGAGGCCAAAGCTCCCTGACTGACAAATGTTAGTCAGTTCAAAAGTCAAGATCTTGCCAACATGGCTGTTTTAGATCCTTTGTGGTTTTCCTCCCAGTCTTAAAAATAATATTGATAGTAGGCCTTTGAAATCCAGAGGCATTTTATTGGTTCCCCAACTTCACAGAAAATAGTTGGGCAGATGCCTGAACAATATTTTGTTTCCTTCTTAAATTTTCCACCAGCCCGGGAAACACTGTACAGCAGGTGAAGTTGGCCCTCCCTGACTCTGCTAGAACACCCTGAGAACCCTCATTGTTTGCTCTTCTCCCAGAGGCCACCTGGTGACTCTGCCTGCCCAGAACCGCCCCCCGAAAAGTCTATACACTTGTGCCCAAGCCACTCATCTGCCACATTAGGGAAAATGGCAGCTCACAAACAAGTTAGCCTAGACTTAATTTTCTACATCATCTAAGCACTGGTCCTTTATCCAAAGGAATCAACCTGATAGTACTATTTGGGGCACCAGTGACAGGCTGCTGGGACCCAGCCTGCCTTCGTTAGGGAGCCTCTGCATTCTCACTCCTGTGAGACATTCTGATTACTCTAGCACCTAAAAATAACAAAATAAAATTAAATACAATCCATGCACGTTTTTGTCTTCTTCTTAGTATCAGCAATTTCTTAAATCAAGTCATCCTCTCTGTTGATCATATAAGTTAGCCAACGGTGTCAGTGCTCACTGCGCTGGAAATTCTAGAAGCTCACCCAACCAGTCGACCTGTCCCACACCACTGGGACCACACACAGGCAGAGCTGTCTGTCCAAACAGCCAAAACGCAGCCCCATTGGGTCGCTTTCCTTTAGATCCGCAGCTCTCTCCGGGGTCACTAGGGTCATCGGGCTGGTCTCTCAGAGCATGAATGTGCTCTACTGTGACCTAGTCTATATTTGTGTTTCATGAATGAGTTTCTTTGTTTATTCTGTTTAATACAAATAAAACATCACCTGATTGTTCTCTAATTAAATGCATCATTAGGCTCCCCCACTAATTCTGCAAATTATTTTTCAGTGGTATGTGGAAGCTGGCAGAGTAAGCAATCTGCTGAGCGTGTGTCCTGCAGCAGAGACATAAAGGAAAAAGTACAACTACAATAGCCACGTTGAGGTTACCTAAGGCTGATGTCATAACGAATTTCAGAAATCCTTACAATCACCATCTCCTCTCCTATCTTCTGCCAGATCTTTTGGGTCCTGTTAAAAGAGCCTCTAAAATCACAGGAACTGGGTTCAAAGTATTTTAAGAAAATCACCTTCACACTTTTGCAAAAATCGCCCACTGGGAATTACTGGTGTCACTTCCCAGCCCCACAGACTGCCTGGTGTGAATCACCTGCCACTTGTTAGTACCCCCGGTCTTCATTCAGGACAACAGGAGACTTGCAGAAATATAATTAGAAGGGGACCCCTTGTCCCATGAGTATTTTTCTATTTCTTTTTCTATTTCTATTGCTCTCTGTAGAATGGGCTCCCAGCCTAAACATGCTGCCTCTTAGAAGAAGCCTAACAAGCAAATGTATTCTTGTCTGTGATGCAAAACAAGCCCATGCTAATCATTTTTATGAGAGAAAAACAAACCAATGTGTAAACAAAATGCAGTGCCAGGCACATGGAATCACGGATGGAAGATTTCATCTCAGAGGCCGCCCTGCCACGTGACGGCAGGTGCTCCAACACAGCCAGTCCTGTGACCAGACCTGCTGCGAGCCCTTCTCCCCCTTTCCTTCCCCCAGGTGAGACTTCACAGGAGGCCTCTGCTCTTCCAGGTGGGAAACAAGCACACGATAACCTCACACATTAGGTAGCCAGCAAGGCCTGACCTCGCAGCGCTGGCCCTGTCTGTGTCTGCGTCACTTCACTTGCCTGCATCTGCAAGACCCACATGGAAATCTACAAGAGGAATTTCTGTCTCTGTCCTCAGGGCAGCCTCTTTTCCTATTCCCGACCCACATGGAAATCTACAAGAGGAATTTCTGTCTCTCTCTGTCTTCAGGGCAGCCTCTTTTCCTATTCCTGCTGCCACTGCATCTCTCTAGTTCTACTAACTTCCATCTGGCTGCCAATTCCTTCCCTCAAAGCCAGATGGAATTACAACCCGACACCACACAGACTGAACGCGGGTCACCTACCTGTCCTATACATCCATCTGCACTTTGATAAAGTGAGAATCTTTGACCACCATAAAATGATGATTACTCTTTAGTGTTGCCTGTCCAAAGGTCAAAAAAAGAAATACAGGAAGAAGAATCTTGACCAGGTTTTTTTACGCTTCCAGTCAATCTAATGGAATTACATAGTGAGTTTATTAAGAAGTAATGTTGCATCTATTGCCTGCTATTCTGAGGGGTGGGTGGAGAGTGGGGGCAATGATAGTGCCATATGCAATGAATTAGCTCAGGCTTCCCATGTTCCTGCAATGACTTTGTTAGGTAATGACACCCTCCAGTGCTTTAAGGATTAGAAAAGCCTAGTGCCAGAGGGACAAAAGCGGGCCTGTCGATGTCAACCCAGTTTTTCTGACTTTTCCTTCTGAAGGGGATTGGACTCAGGCTTAATTTTATGACAACTTTTTAAAAGCTAGGATCAAATCGTTGCTTCTCAACCAATCTTTGAGAAGTAATACATTGAGCAATACAATATTTAGAGGCAGTGCTGCCTGGTAAAAAGAGCTGAGCAATCAGGCTTTGGACTGGTGTAGGTTCAAACCATGGCTCCATTACTCACCAGCTGCAGGAACTTGAACAGATCACTAAGCTTTGGTTTCTGTGTCTGAAAAAGAGGAATGAGAGGACTTCTCAGAGGTTTAAAAGGTTTTATATATACGTAAAAGAGCATAAATAGTGGAGTCCCTGACTTGGGATCAGATCCTCACACTGTTGCTTACTAGTTATGTCACTTGGAGCAAATTATGTGGCCTCTCCGAGCCTAAGCGGTGCTATCACATGTCTTACAAGGCTGCTGTAGATTTTTAGTGAGACTCGTAAAGGGGCCAGCAAACCCATTTTTAAATAGTCAGATAGTAGAAAAAAATAAAACTAAATAAAGTCAGATAGTAAATATTTTAGGCTTTGCAAACTATATGGTCTTTGTCACAACTACTCTGCTCTGCCCCCGTCACACAAAAGCAGCCATAGATAATGTTTAAATTAATGGGCAAGTCTGGATTCCCACAAAATTTTACTCACTAAAACAGGTGATAGGCCAATTTTCCCATAGGCCATCATTTAACAATTTCTACTTTAGTATATGATCAATAAATGATAAAACTCTAGTAACTTTTTAATTAAGGTAATTAATATAATACATAGGATAAAGAGAAAAAAATTGAAGATTGCAATCTTTCCCCAGACATTTATACATTTTTACACAATTTTTT